GTGCGGTAGAAACTTTCCTTTTGAAAAGGAAAACTTAAGAACAAAGGCCAACTGGCCATCTCCACCAATATTTCTCACGTACGTTTCTTTCTTTCTTTTTTTTTTTTAAAGATTGGCACCTGAGCTAACAACTGCTGCCTATCTTCCTTTTTTTTCCTTCTTTCTTCTTCTTCTCCCCAAATCCCCCCAGTACATAGCTGTATACTTTAGTTGTGGGTCCTTCAGTCTGTACTGTGTGGGATGCCACCTCAGCATGGCCTGATGAGCGGTGCCATGTCTGTGCCCAGGATCCGAACTGGCGAAACCCTGGGCCACCACAGAGAAGCGCGCGAACTTAACCACTCGGCCACAGGGCTGGCCCCTCTATGTACGTTTCTAATTGAACAATTCAAACTGGGATCTTTTCACCCAAACCTTCTCCTCAGGCTTTGTCTCCTCCCTAACAACCTGACACTGGTGTTCCTCAGTTTTGAGCCCCAGATCTCTCTCTCTAGCTAATTCATCCCCTGGATGCAATGCCAGGCCGCTGCCTAAGTCTGTGCCCTGAAGACTTACTGAGAATCTGCCATGTGCTAGAAGCTATGCTAGCTGCTGGGAATATAAAGGTGAAGAACACAAACACGGCCCTGCTCCTTGTGAAACTTACATTCTTGTGGAGAAAAAAGACATTCGATGAATATTTTTACAAGGATTTTTTAAGTACAATTGTGGTAAATGCTGAGAAGATGATGAGCATATTTGTACCATAAGAGAATATAACTGAGAGATCTAACTTGGGGGAGGGAGGGAGGAGTTGGTGACAGGGAGAGTCTGTGCCAGAAGAAGAGGCACAGGCACTGATTAAAGGATGGGCGGGTGTTAGTGAACCAAAAGGGGAGTGGGGCGAGAGAGGAGTGGGACACAGGAAGCATACTGCAGTGAGAGGAAACAATGCACACAGGAGCGCCAGTTGGGAAAGGGTTCTGTGGAGACATGGAACCAAGAAGTACTTATTTGGTTGTGGGGGGCTGGTAAATTTGGGATGAAGTGCACGAAATGAAGTTGGAGAGAAGCTGTGGGTCCAACATCCTAAGAGCAGTAGAAGAATTTTAAGCTTGGGGTTGATAGAATCAGATTTTCTGTTCAGAGTTAGACATGCTGAGTTTGAGCCATGAAGTCTGAGAAGAAATGAAGTAGGTACAAAGATATTCAGATCTGAAGCTCAGAAGACAGATTCTAGATCGTTGATGTTCATGTGAAAGTTATTAGCACACAGTGTTGGGTGACATCATGAAAGGGAGAGAAAATTCTTTTTTTTTTTTTTTTTAAAGATTGGCACCTGGGCTAACAACTGTTGCCAATCTTACTACTTTACCGCGCCCCCCGCCCCCGACCCGCACAGTTGCATATCTTAATCGCAGGTCCCTCTAGTTGTGGGATATGGGACGCCACCTCAATGTGGCCTGACGAGCGGTGCCATGTCCATGCCCAGGATCCGAACCCTGGGCCGCTGCAGCGGAGCGCGCAAACTTAACCACTCAGCCACGGAGCCGGCCCCGAGAAAATTCTTAAGAAGAGGGCAGAATGAGGAGAAACAGGGCCCAAGGCTGAGTTTTGAAGAACTCTTATATTTAAATAATGCACCGAGGACAAAGGTCTGGTAAAGGGAACCACGGAGGCATGATAAAACCAAAGAGAAGGTAGTAAGTGAAGGGTAGAGAATATTTCTGAAAGTAGGGAGACGTTTGTCATTTGCAGCTGCAGGGTCAGGTAAGACAGGGCCAGAAGATCCTTCGCGTTTATTAGTTAGTCCTGGTGACTAGCAGAGCAGCAGCAGTAGAATGATGAGGGGAGAAGCCTGAGGAAGGTGACGAAGTAGAATGAGATAGGAGATTGTGCAGAAAATTTTGGAGAGGTTCCTCTGTGAAGATAAGGAGAGAAGTAGAGCACAAGGGAGAAGAGAACGTACCTTCCACGGGATGTTTTCTGTTGCTTTTTTCCTCTTTGTATCTGAGTTTAGAACATATTTATATTTTTACAGGAAAAATTCATACAGAAATGGAAGCAGAAATAAATGTGGGGAGGAGCCCTGGGGGTACTGGACAATTGATAGAGTTGGGTTCCCAGTTGGGAACCTTATCTGATGTTGATCTGCATGTGAAAGGAAAGGGCTGTTCCCTCCATTGAACTCAGAGGGGAGTGGCAAAGATAAGCATCACTTATGGAGTACGTCAGTGCCACTGCAGGGAATGAAGGATTTGTCATCCAACGATTCTTATTTTCTTTTTGATTAGGAGGCAAGTCTGTTGTTTGTAAGGGGAGCAGAAGGTGGATTACCGGGAGTGAAGGAAGTAATTGTTACAAATAACTGGAGAGCCACAAATCAGGGAGACACTGAGACTGCAAGACAGGGTCTCCCAGATGAAGCTGAGGGCCAGGAATTTACAGAGGTTTCCATTTCCTGCTTTTTCCTCTAGCAAGCTCATTCCTCAAGGCCTGCCCAATGGTCTTCCCCTCTAAAAGGACTTTCCATTGTAGGGAGGAAATCCTTCTTTGTGAACCTTCTTAAAGTTCCTGGCTAGGTCTGAAAATTAAAGTGACAGAGAGATTAACAGAACAGCATACGAATTTATTTAAGTTTTACCTAACACGGAGCCTTCATAAGGAAATGAAGATCTGAAGGAACAGGGAGACCTGAATCTTTGTATGCTAGGCTTGATGAAGAGTGGGCAGTCGTGTAGAAATATAGGTCAGAGAGTGAGAGCTCAGCATAGTAAAGTGGAGGAAACTCAGCAAGGCCTGTTTGTTCGGATGTGTTTTGAAGATCAGGATGCTCCTGTCCTCCAGGAGCAGGGAGGGCGCCTCACACGTGCGGGTCTTAGGACCTCCCTCACAGAAAAGGTGAGGGAAATTCAGAGAGACTTTCCTGCTTCTGCTGTTTGCTCAAACATCTTCAGCTTAAAATATTCCGTATGCCAAGGTGCCATATCTTGGGGTGGTGTGTCCTGAACCCCACCAGCATCACCTCTACTACAGAGAGAGTGTGTACTTCCATTCACATCTCTTTTTTAAAGACTTAACACATCACTGTTCTATCTGCTTAAATGTCTTTCTCTACAACTAGGCTTTAAAGGCAACACGGAAAGTGACTGCTCAGCATCAACCATTTCAGCTTTGTTCATCTCCAGTTCCTAGCAGTGTCTTAACAAATGGCAAATGACACAAAGGAAAAGAACTTGAAATATTATTTCTCCGCCCCAAGCGTAAAACAATACCAAACAAGTACAGGGACAAAAAGAAAACTGTAGAACTGAGGCTGAAAGGTTTACTATAGATAAAGAAAAAAAAAACCAGAAACAGAAACAAAAAAATCTGCCCAGGAAGCTAGGAACTTCTGAGCAATATGCAGAGAAGGAAGTGCCTTCAAGGACTAATTAACCTGAGACCATAATCAACCATGAGTGATAGCAGGGATCTGTAGAGTGACAAGCAGGATGGAGACCTGAAGAGAAGTCTCTCTTTTTTTAATACAAACTTCAATGGAGGGTTCACTTTTCCCCCTTCCTTTTAGCAAAAATTCCCCATAAGCAACATTTTGTCTTCAAGTCTGCTTCCATAATAACAAAAGCCCCTCCAACTGCAGTAGACTGGCTTTCTACCCTCCCCCCACCTAGAAACACATTTGGAAATCTGCAATCACATGTGGGGCAGGGGTGCCCTGCTGGCTCCCTTACTCAGAATTGATGTCTCATTTCGCCCTTAATTTACAATAATCTTGAATCCCTGGTCTGTGTGTGCATGTATGGGAGTGTATACATATATATATTTACTTATGCATTTAATAAAAATATTATCTTTCGAAATATAATGTTCATTTAAAACATTCAGTTAAACAAAAATCTCAAAGAAATAAGTAAAAAGTTACCTGATATATCACTAAGAAGAAATTTCATTATTATCATTTGATGAGTAACATTGTAATTTATTTTTTTAATTTTTTAAATTGAAGTATAATTGACATATAACATTATATTAGTTTCAAATGTACAATGTAATATTTGATATTTGTATATATTGTGAAATGATCATCACAATAAGTCTAGTTAACATCTATCTCTCCATACACAATTTTTTTTTCTTGTGATAAGGACTTTTAGGATCTACTCTCTTAGCAACTTGCAAATATGCAAATATGTGGTCTTAGCAACTATAGCAGCAAATTATTTTTGTAGATTTCAGATAGAAAGATAGACTAACGGATGGATGGATGGATGGATGGATGGACTGATGGACAAATAAGTAGGTAGGTAGACAGATGATTGATAGAATGGTGAAGGGATAGACAGGCAAAAACTGGATTATACAATACAAGTTATTGGATAATAAATGCCTTTATTTTATTGGAATTGAAGGGAAGTAAAAGAAGTTGAAGTACAATTAAAGGATTGTACTTTCAATATTTGTTCACAGAAATGTTTTAAGATCGCTCTATAATTAGGATTATGAAAAACATTATTTTTAACTACTTGATCAATTTTGGATAATACCTTTTAATACCCTGCTGTGAAATATTAAGAATTTGGAACATTTCCTTTTCTCTCTCCTATCCACATCTATCTATTTTCGTTAACTGTGTTATCATTAGCAAGATTTATAACATTTTCTTCTTGTTCAGTAATGATAATTCCTACAGCTGTTGAATCTTAGTCTATAGTAAAATTAATTCAATGATCCTTTTATATCTGAAGCTAAACTTCTCCTACTAATGAAATGAACGTTTGTGCATAAGTATGCCTATGCTCCTTTTAAAAGCGATATCTGATAAATATTACTAAATATGGGCAGCATTTGTGATGATCTTCCTCAACCAGTTTCCATATAGGAAACACTTACCTTATCTTAAAAAAAAAAAAAGAAATATTGCTCAATCTCAATATTTCCATATTTGGGTGAAATTTGGGAGAAAGCACAAACAAAATTCTTATTAAATTGCAATCACATTTGAAAAATTTTCAACTCACATCACGTGTTGAATACAAGCCTTCACTCTTCTTTGGACCCAGGAGTTTCTTCATGTTTTCCTTTATGTTCTCTTTTCTCTGTTGTCTGAAAGCTTTCTCCTGATCACACAGAGCCATGCTAAATCGGAGGTCTGGGGACGAACTGTGTGTAAAACAGATGGGCATGAGCCAATGTCCCAGGTAGCCTTGTTCTACATCAGCCGGTCCCTGCAAGGCCCTGGGAGCTACACTGACACATGCTTACTGCTTCCCTCAAGCCATTACCTAGGAGGGGACCTGAAACAAGAGTATAAAATGATGGCTATCTTAAAGCAGCATGTTCCCAGGCATGTTTTCAGAAAACAAGGACTATCAAGTGTTTTAGAAAAAAATCAATAAGCAAACAAACAAGCCCTGATAAACTGCATATTACTATAGTAAAGACTTTGGGAAGTGCTTCAGAAAAGAAACCTGTTTAGATCTGTTAATTCTGGCACAGAATTTCCCAAATTTACCTGACCAAGCATTCCTTCCCTGACTCTCCAGGCCCCATTCCTCCACAGCACAACACTAATATCCCAGAGTCTGTGCCCTGAGGAGCACACTTGAGAAGTACTCTCTTAATGAATCACCTTGTCTAATGGATGGCCTCCTGTGACAAAGGAAGGAACTTCTAATGGTAGAACTTTGGACAACCACAAATGAGTTTATGACTGGTGGATTTCAGAACCCTTCATTATATACCCTTCCTTTCTAATCACGGCAGCAGCAATCCCTCGGATACCTATACCATGCCAGAAACCACATTAGGTATTACATACGGACCGCTGCAACAGGGGTGGGAGTCAATATCACATGTTATTATACACTATCGTATTACTTTTACAAGTCCATATTATAGAAGGAAAAAACTGAGAGGTTAGAATCACAGAGCAAATGTGATATACTTTCCATTATGCAATGATGCCTCACAAACCACCAGGTCCTAATACTGAATTCTAAAACCAGCTACTGAATTTAAAAATACTAAAAAAAAAAAAAAAAACCCCGAGCAATTTATGTTGTGATGTGAATAAATGCAAAATGTGGAAAGCAAGAAGATCACTAATAAAATACTGTCTCTTTACCATAAAAGTAAGTCCTTCTCTTCAGTCAATTAAATTTAAGTGATTTCTGTTAATTCAGTGTAATTCTTCCTTTAAAATACAGAACAAGAGAAGAGACTGCAAAGCCCCTCTATAGTGATATTTGATCATTACAAATAACATTTTAATTACTACTTCCCAAAGGACAAATATGGATAACTCACAAAAGAGCAAGTATGATTCATAATAGAAAATAAAAGAATAAATATTTCATTTCAATAGCAAATTTTAAAAATACTCATTATTAAATTAGTAATTTTAAAAAATATTTTAAATATCTATTTTCCAGCACTGGAAAAGGTAAAGTAACATTGTTATTATCATACATTCATTTTGGGAATATAAATTTGCAAAACACTTTGGAAAAGTGATTAGGCAATGAGCACTAAAAATAATTAAAATGTGTAACCCCTTTGACTGAGAAATTCTATTTCTGGATATCTACTTTAAGTAAAGTCACTGTAAATTTTGAAAAGATTACTTAATCATATGATCCAGTAATAAGGAAATGATCATTATATACAGTATATCAAAGCACTGACTACACAGCTATTAAATTAGATTATTATGAAGATTATGTAACAAGGTGGGAAAAGAATAAGAGAGTGAATTAGCCTTTTTTTAAGTCAAGTCTTTTTCTATTATTATTAGTTATTACAATATATTAGGTTGAGTATCTTCTAACCACTTTAAGAAATAAAAATCTTACCTGCACAGTCGGCTCTGTGACTCTCCCTCACTTTTATTTCCTTTTCTGCTCCTCAGAGGAAACTACTACCTTCAACTTGCTCTTTATTATTCCAATGTATTTATTTATAATTTTACAATACATATTATGTCTCTAATTAAGATATAGAATCATTTTACAGGTTTTTAATTTTTTATAAATGCTATTGACTTTTTTATAAATGCCATTGCATGTTTTCTGCAAATTATTTTTTTCCAATGAACATTTTGTTTTTAAGATTTATCTGTGTATATAAATAGAACTAATTCAAACATTTTTACTATTATTGAGTATTTTTATTATGTGGTTATAGAATAACTTACTTATCCATGAACATCGAGGTTGCTTTCAATTTTTTTAACTATTACAAAGAGTACCACTATGACATTTGATGTACACGTGGGAAACTTTCCTATGATATATGATCTTTAGAAAGAACATCTCATTAAATCATCACAATAGATATGCTTATAAAGTACTCTTTTCTATTTTACAAATGAGTAAAAAAGTGATTACAAATCTTTCAACCATTAACATAATTAGCAAGCAGTAGATTTAAATCCAGGACTTCTCATTCTAGAACTCATGTTCCATGTCATGCACTGTGCTGATCATTATCTTACATTAACAGAGCAATCAACATAGATGTTTAGAAGATATCAGTACAAAAGTACCTAAATAAAATTCAAAATATTTGAGCAATTTTAAAAATATAGTAACAAAAGCATGGTTCCTTTATTTCTTCTATGTATTATTTTTAACTCTTCAATTAATTTTCTTTCTTGATTTTATTTTATTTTTAAGGGAAGACATTCCATGGAAAATAAAATTTTTCTTTAAAGAACATTTCTGTTAGAGTCAAGACAAATTAATGCATGAAAATAGAGATTGATTAAAGTTCATTATAAATACATAGCAAATTGCTTCTGGACATATGTACACTATTTAGCTGAGTTTTTGCTACATTTTTTGACAACTGTGCTTTGTTAAAGCCCATTTCTTTTACATAACATGGTCCTACTTACATCAGTGAAGACTATTTCCCATTAAAACAAGCAGCATTATTGTCATGGTCGAATAACAAGAATATTTCTAATCTCATGCCAAAATATACCACTTTAAGCAAGAATCAACGTAATGCAAAATAAAATTCAAAAAGCTGGATTGTCCTTTGATACTTCCTGATATGTATTAAGGAACAATGGTAATTTACGCAATAATTTACGCAACATGTTCCAGGGATCAAAATAAGAGAAAGAAATACCTAAACCCAATGTCATTGTATCCATCACCATTCATTCGGCAAATCACAAGATATGAGGATGTTACACTAACTTATGTGGTGTTTGTGTAAATAAAATGTGTGTACTAGTAACTTTGGTTGAACCCACTTTAACAGGGAAGTTCAAAGAGAGGTTGAGGGAGGTGGGATCTGCTGGATTCAGTTTAGATCAGAGATCAGCTAATTCTCAAGGCAGGGCAGACTCCCCTCAGACTCATCATTTGAAAGTAAATAGATGATTTTCCAACAGTCATTTCTGGAGGCCACTTTGAAAGAGCAACATGTTTCATGGAATTTTACCATTTGTAGTCCTGCTGATCACTATGAATAAAAAGTCTCAATTTTCAGTTTTCCTCCTTTATATGTTCCTATTTCTGTACACTTTTATATTTTTGAATATCTATCTGAATCAACAATGGAAAATAGGCTTAAATAACCAGGTTCATTTCTCTGGAAATAGATATATACTTGAGGGATGTTTCTTTCTAAAAGCCCATATTCTGACATCTATTATTTAACCACCAAACTACTGGAAAATTAAGCAAAGAATATTAGATTTCTTTTGTAATGTTGTACCTATTAGGAGAGAGCTAAAGAAAAGCAAAATGCATTTAATGCTTTTTTTATATTCAAACCTGTCAGAATTATTTCATATATTAAAATTATACTCTTCAACAACTAAAACGTCAGTGGATAACTCACAATATTTTCCATCCAATGAAGTAAGTGCACTTACCAAACTTCAAGAGACATTTCCAGAATCATTTCAGTGACCTAAAACAGACACATTAGTCAGATTAGGTCATAAAATGGATGTGTATTATATATAATGCAAATAGTCAAAATAATTTTTGAGTGCCAGAGTGTTTTTAAACTAAAAAAAAAAAAAAACCCTACCTGCAACTAAGATATACAACTATGGACGGGGGGGTTTGGGGAGATAAAGCAGAAAAAAAAAAAAAACCCTAAAACTACAAGTAATGTATCTCCATGAAGACCCTAAATTACAGGTGCATTTCAATAAATAATTTTCTTGCTATTTTCCATCAGACATCTACTTATTAAGTCATTATAGCAAACCTAAGAATCGTCTCTGCATAGCTGTTTTCCTCCTTCACTAAAATGAAGTAGTTCAGTTCCACCATCATTTTTCATGAAACATAAAAATTGCCTGAGATCTAAAAACTACCAAGTCATTGTGTCTATTATTCAGGAGCTGTCCCTGGGCCTCAAAATCAGAGGCTGAAATGGCCGGGAGGTTAAAGAAAACGTGGGTGAAAATTCACACGAGTGCATTTGTGACAAGTGCGAGCTGCAGTAAACTGGAGACAGAACACCTACCCACGGTGGGCAGCAGGACCCAGGGGGAAGCCAACCGTGGGCAGCTCAAAAACCTCTGCAAATGGCATGGGACGCTCAGGTTTTTAATGTCTCAGCACTACGTGAGTCAACCAAACTTAGAGATGGACCCCATCCTGCCAATGGGCCAATCTTGGTTTAATAGAAAAGAAAGTGACTAATATCCAGAGAGAAAAAGGGATATTAAAAGGTGTCTTTCCAGAGACTATAAGTAAGTTGTATAGAAAGACCTTTTCAATACTATCCCTGCCATCAGCTACGAATATTCACATAACTTGAGATTGTTATGAGAACCAAATGAGAAAATGTTTTGATGTTTGCTGCACAACTGTAAGATGGTGCTATTATTTTTATCATATCAGTTACCATAATATAGTTCGAGGGAACCTGTTCAATACCTTCAAATAGAACAGAACTAGCATATGCCCCTTACAATGTGAACAGGATATTTTTAGACCCAACATAAAATGCCATAGATTATATAGGCTGTGTTTTCTTCTGGGTTTCAGGGGATGGAAAAAAACAAACTAGAAGGAGCTTTCTGAAAGGTTAAAATAAGTTCATGGATAATTCTCAGAAAGGTATTGGAATCATCTGTATAAGGATTTGCCTCTCCTAACTGCAAGCTCTGTCTTATGGAGGTTTGTTTTACTAGTTCATTGCACAGTATTTGGCATAAGCAGGTAATCAGAGAATATTTGTTGAATTACTGTGCATGTGTGCGCGACCGGGAGCACATCAGACAATCTTTTCCTGTCAAGAAATACCTCACTGCTACAAGAGAGAAAATCATGGGCTGGACCAACCCAAATAGCAGCTCCCATGGAATTCTGTGACCTTTATTCTTCAAAGCAGCATATAAATATTACTTTGAAGTTAATAAAATAATCAAGAATACCAGTACAAATAGAATTATACATGCTCAGATGAATCATAGTTCGGTATGTCAAAAAGGTGATTGGCTTCGAAACAATTAATGTAATTGCTGTCTATTCTACCAATGAAGGTGTTGCTCACATTATGTCTATTCGCAGTTTGAAAATTTCAAATAGTCTTTCCTAAGGAGAGTTGTAAAACAGTTTATAATGAATGAGGTTACTTTGAATATTTAATAAGAAAAACAAGGTATGGGTAAAACCTGGTCTCTTTTTTTCAAAAAAAAAAAAAAATACACGAAAGCTACTATTAAAATAAGACTAGATTTACTGTTTTTATCTCCAGAGGCCAAAAGCACCATAAGAGAATGGAAACTAAAAGACCAATATCACGACTCAATGTGGAGTTTTCCAACAAATGGAAAGATTTAAATCTGGAATGGGCTTTCTGTTCTAATGTGCCACCTCCTGACAGAAAGTGTTCAGGGAAAAGCTGGTTTCCCATCTGGCAGGGCCCTAAGCAATTTATATATTAAAATAGTCAATGCCTGAATATATCTATTGCCTACTTATCCTGACAACTTAATAACTAAAAGGAAAACCAACTGTACCATGTTTACAGTCCTATTCATCTTCTCTATAATAACAACACTTCTTGGCTAAGACATTCGTGATCCTAGACAGACTGACAGGACTCTTTAAATAAAGGCAAGATGCAAGAAGAGAAGAGAGGATATTTCTGCCATTTGGAATATCATAGACTGTGTTGCCATGGTGCTCGTCACATGGATTGGGACGCTCACTTTCACTTGTTGCCCAAGTGGATCACCCACAACCAGGAGGAAATTTTAAACTCTCCCCCATGCACTATGTTCAGACACGCTATGAAGACTGACATTCACGATCTCTCTGCGCCTCTTACCTGGAACGTGTCATTCAGATAAAATAGCCACAAAAACATGTACTTCCTATGAGGCACTAAACACTTATTGTATACTCCTTCCCACACACTGCATAAAGCTCTCCACTTACAGTCTTTCAGGGTGCTTGCATTATCAAGGCAATTAGAAGAAAAGGTGACTAAATCTCCAGGCTCTCCCCAATCCCATAATACTTAGCTAGAAATCAGAATAAGTGAGAAGAACCCCACCTCTTCTAGGAATTACAAATGTGAGAAGTGGGCTGTAATTTCCACATTCTTGTAGAAAACAACACTCTCTTCTTTGAATTCCACAGTGGAAAGCAATTTTAGAAGCTTATAATGCAAGATGTTTGGTTTGGGGAGGGAGAGGGAAACTAGAGGAGAGAAACTATTTAAAAAAAAAAGCCATTCCAGGGTTAAGTTTGCCCACGCTCTGCTTTGGTGGCCCAGGCTTCGCTGGTTCGGATCCCAGGTACGGACCTACACACTGCTCATAAGTCATGCTGTGGTAGGCGTCCCACATAGAAAATAGAGGAAGATAGGTATAGGTGTTAATCTTCCTCAAAAAAAAAAAAAAGCCATTTCAAACTTAAAAGTAATTTAAAAGTTATCTAATCCACTAATTCCCTTGCAAACTTTCCAGGATCGTTTTGAAATAATAAAGTTAAAGGAACAAGCATAGTGTCTGGCATTAAGGGGGTCCTTTAAAATTATTGTTACAAAAAGATGCACACAGTCAAATAATTTTAAACTTGAGAATCTATCCTATTAGTAAAGAGTCTTCAAACATACTGTGCCTTCTCTTACGAATCTACTCGAGGATTTACAACCTTTACTTTTAATAAGACATTATTTTGAATTCTGATCCCTCTTGTGTCAATTTACTTTTTTTTCTCGGTAAAAATAAACAGGAACTAATAACATGTTGATTTAATAATCATTTACATCTTTCAAGAGAATTACATAATATTTCCTGCTTTATCTGTATTTACCTGACCTGTGTAAGATAAAAAGTAAAATTACATTAAAAAAATTAGGGTCACTTTTGCCATGAGTCATGTTTCTATACAATAAACTCCATCCTGTGAAGAAGGAACCGGATGTAAATCTAACAAGGAAGCAATTCAAAGGCAGAGTGGAAATTACAAACCCGCCAATACAAGGTAGGTCATATCTAAATAAATTTTGCATGTTTAAAATTAAATAAGACACTGATAAAATTATTTTTTAAAGTATATATGATTTCTTTTTTGGATAACACTAAAAATTAACATTTATTTTTTTATTGAGGTATAATTGACATATAATATTTTATTAGTTGTAGGTGTATAACATAATGATTCAATACTTGTATATATTGCAAAACGATCACCACTGTAAGCCTAGTTAAGATATGATTTCTTAATAAAATAAAATTAGCATTTACTACCAGGAATCATTTAATCCACTACCCAAGAATTCAGGCTAATTGTGCCCCCCAAAACATCCCAGACAGTCTGAAAAGACTCAAAAAATAAAAAAATACACAATTTCCCCTTTAGCCATGCTCTGCTCGATCACAGAGTTTTCCTCCTTACATCTGATGGTCTCTCCTTCTTTAATTTAAGGTCCCTTTTCCTTATATGGACATTGGAAATTCTTAAAGAGCTGTGTAATCATTAGCTATCACACAAAAAAACAGACTTCCTACAGCACTGCTATCAAACCAAAATACCAACTCTTTTTCTCCAAATGGGAATCTCTCAGACTCTCCAGTTTTTCTTTTTTAAATTTCACTTAGTTTCGTTATGCCTGTCTGAGTATTTCCCAGGTTTTCTGTCTTTCCCGTAAGTACATTCATTTATCTATTCATCCAAAAACGATTCTAGCACCTAATGTGTGTCAGGCTGGGTGTGACATGGTTCAGATGCTGAACACGTTCTACTCTCTGATGGAATTCAAGTCCAGTCGAGGACCGCAAAGATACAAGAGCATTCTAAAATGCTCTATAATTTACAAGCTAAAAATTGTAGAAGCGCCAAAAATGCTCGCTTATGTTTCCATTGCTAGTATCTCAAAATAAAAATGGATCCTTCTTAAAGCCAGGAATTGTCTGACCTATGTTTGAACTCCACCCTGCATCAATGTGATGGCATTCACATCTTAGCCAAAGATCTCCCAAATTTCTCACAAAATTATATAGTTCCCTTGTTTTCCCTTCCAAACTCTGCTTCATCTCATTCATTTAGCTAAATTGTAGTCTTTGCCCTCATACTTCAATACATAGTTTTCCAATGAAATCATTCTGATACCAACCTAATTCTGAACTCATCATCAAAACTCTTGTGTATTTTAAGCTTTACCACTCTCTTCCAGAGAACGACCTCATTGACTTCATTCATGTTCAAGTTGCAATCACGAAGAAGCAATAATCAAAGAAAGCAATTGGCCAAAATTAGATAGCACAGAAGCCTGGAGACATGGTTCTTCTAAAAAAATAACACTAACTCCTAAATAAAGATGGCAAATTAAAACACTGTATGATGTAAAACTTAGAGACTATCTTCCTCAAAGTATTTGCCAAAACAAACTAATTTCATCTAGAGCATAAAGAAGTGTAATCTTTCTCTGCACTACTA